TTTTACTCAGACTGCCCTGCTTACTAGTGCCCTCAACTACCCTATAAACCACATTGAAATGATCCATTTTGTACAATTATCTTCCAGAGAATGATTTGTGAGAAAAATTCTCACTTATTTTTATAAAAGTCAGAATATAATAGAAAGTAAATTTTTCAGAGAAAAAAAATTACATGCCAATCTCTGTCAAATTTCAATGCAGTAGTCCGGGACAAAATAGTAACTCCAAAAAAATAAATTTATGTAAAAAAATAAAGGAAAATTGTAGGAACAGAGGTCATCTCTCTGTCAGTGAAGCATTGATCTCTTTACTTTTTGCCAACACTGGTAAGGCTGGGATGACTTTAGTGTAATGCACTATTGAGGGTAGTGGGGTCTTTTGGCTAAGGTGGCATTCTGCCATGGCATGGAGAAGCTTTTAGATTGCATGGAATCTGGGTATTACTGGGGCAGGGGCAGTAGATTCCTGCCTGGTGCTGCATGAGTTGTCAGTGCCAGTCTGAGAAAATTGTCAAGCTATTGGCTGACATTAAATACAATAAGATTTAAAAAATAAGTCCATCTTTGGGAAAATTGGTTGTCAAATTTCTCAATGCTGCATAAGGAAAGTATAAGTATGAAGGGGGGAAGGTTACAATAAGGTATCTATATATATATATATAAACCTAAGCAACCCTCTGACTGTTTGACTGCCCCACCGGTAGCTATGATGTGCACTGACCATCAGGGGGTAGATGCTCAATGCAGGAGCTGCCAAGCTGCAGTGACTTGGCAGCTGCGGTTCTTGGGTGATGCACCTGGAACCAGAGAGGAGGGAGCCCAATTCTGGGGTGCATCACCGGAGAACCACCCTCTTGCAATCTGGGACCTCTTGGGGGATGTCGGAGATCCAGTTTCAGCCTGATCCCTGCAGGCCAGATTGAGGGACCCCACCAGAGCACAAATCCATGCATTGGACCTCTAGTGTGACATCCTGTATAATAAAAGGCTAATATGCAAAATTGACCAAACGGTGGGACAACTGGTTACTATGACACACACTTACCACCAGGGGGCAGACACTTAATGCAGGAGATGCCCCCTAGTGGTTAGTGCACTCCCACAGTGGGAGTGCTGCTCAGTCAGAAGCCAGCCTCATGGCTGGAGACTGCAGCAGTGGCGGCAGGAGCTTCTCCCACCTCCATGGCAGCACTAAGGATGTCCGACTGACAGCTTAGGCCTACTCCTGGGCCTAAGCTAGCAGTCAGACATCCCCTGAGGGCTCCTGGACAGTGAGAGGGTGCAAGCCAAGCTGAGGGACCCCTACACCACCGAGTGCACAAATTTCAATCACTGGCCACTAGTTAAATAATAATTAGAAGTATAAATTTGAACTCATTTAAGATAGGTAGTTAAGTAGCTAGATCAATCATTGGATAAAAAGAAATAGATATGTGTTGGTATGTATGTGTGCACGCATGTATATGTGTATTTATTTAGACTTCTAACAAGAGGGTCTAGGAAACAGTGCCCAAATAGCACATTTAGTGTTCATAAATTGGATTTCATGTACCATTTTCCACAAAAAGTTTCCATAGTTCATTGGATTCTGGGACTGAAACAAGGAATATACAAGATGATTCTGGAATATCTTGAGCTAGACATAGAAAATACTCAAAGAATAATAGAGACATAATTCAGTTCTACTGTACTCAAAATCACTGCCTGGTGTGTGTGTGTGTGTGTGTGTGTGTGTGTGTGTGTGTGTGTGTGTGAGAAAAGTGACGATCTGATTTTTAACAGCTTTATTTAGGTATAATTGATGTACAAAAAACTACACATACTTAATGGAATAAAATTTGATGAGTTTGGACATGTGCATATACCCACGACACTTTTCAAGAGAGTAGACATATTGAACATTTCCCAGTTTTATGTGTCCCCTTCTTTTGTTTGTTGAATATTTTTTTGTGTGCTACAAACACTTAACATTAGATCTACCTTTTTAACAAAGCTTGAAGTGCACAATACTATCTTGCTAACTATAGACACTGCGTTTACAACAAGTCTCTAGCATTTTTCACTTAGTGTAACTAAAATTTTATACACATTGAACAACAGCTCACTATTTTGCACACCTTCCTACCCCTGGAAACCACTATTATATCTGTGGCTTCTATGAGTTTTCTTATTTTTGGTATTAAAATAAGTGAAATTTTGTTCTACTGTGTCTAGCTTATTTCATAATGTTCTTCAAATTGTGGCATAAGTAGAATTTCCTTCTTTTTGTAAGGCTAAGATAATCCCATTATAAGTTAGATTTTCTCTATCCATTCATCTATTAATGGGAATTTGAGTTGGTTTTTATATCCTGGCTGTTGGGAATGATGTTGCAACTAATATTAAAGTATAGATATGTCTTCAAGATCCTGATTTTAATTCTTTTGATATATATGCAGAAGTAAGGTAGCTGAATCACAAGGTAGTTTTATTTTGAATTGTTTGAGTATCTTCCACATTATTTTCTATGGCTATTGTACCATTTTATATTCCTACGAAGTGTTTAAGGGTACCAATTTTTCCATAACTTTGTCAAAACCTGTAATATTTTATTTTGATAATAGCCATCTTACTAGATACATGACTGAGATATACTACAGATGTGTACCAAAACTTATATAGAAAAACTAGAGGGCTGGTGCACAAAATTCATGCATGGGGGGGGGGTGCCTCAGCCCAGCCTGCACGCTTTTGCATCCGGGACCACTGGCTCCTAACCGCTCACCTGCCTGCCTGTCTGATCACCCCTAACTGCCTCTGCCTGCCTGCCTGCCTTATTGTCCCTAACTACCTCTGCCTCCCTGCCTGCCTTATTGTCCCTAACCACCTCTGCCTTGGTCCCTGCCACCATGACTTCTTCCAGAAGGACGTCTGGAATGAGGTCAGTAAGGTCATTCCGCTATCTGGTCTAATTAGCATATTACGCTTTTATTATTATAGATGATAATCTTTCTATATGTAAAAGCCTAAGTGACCATTTGACTGTTTGACCATTCAACCATTCGACCAGTAGCTATGACGCACACTGACCACCAGGGAGCAGATGCTCAATGCACAAGCTTGGAAACATGAAACAGACTGGTGAATCTGAGAGGGAAGGGAGTGGGGGGAAGGTAGGAAGATATTAACCAAAGATCTTATATGCATACTAGAGGCCCAGTGCATGGATTTGTGTACTCAGTGAGGTTCCTGGGCCTAGCTTGTGGGGATTGGGTAAAATTGGCAGTCCGATATCCCCTGAGGGGTCTCAGGTTGTGATAAGGTGCAGGCCAGGCCGAGGGAAACCCCCTGGTGCACAAATCCATGCACTGGGCCTCTAGTTCTATTATAATAGCAGAAACATAGAAATACCTCAAATTTCCATTAACAGAATACTTATATTAATTGTCACTTGTCTGATCACATAATCTCTTCATACCTTTCCTCCACTCACTCTTCCTTCTAGACTGGTTCACTTCCCTCTATATTCCTATGAAAGAAAAGCCTTTACACTTAATCTTTGAGACATATATAATACTGTTAGAGCTTTCTTCCTATTGCAATAGTCCTCCTCCCCCTTCTGCTATGTTTTTTATAATAAAGTCTATATTTATTTTAATTGAAATATAAATGTACTATAACATTGTATTAGTTTCTGTTGTACAACATAACGATTCAATATTTATAGATATTATGATATGATCACTACTATACATCTAGTTAACATCATTGTCACACACACATTTTTTTTCTTGTGATGAGAATATCTACTTGCAATTTCAAGATCTACTTACCACATTTCAAGTTCTCAATACAATATTATTAACTATCTTCATCATGCTGTATGTTAATCCCCATGACTTATTTATTTTATAATTTGAAGTTTGTGCCCTTTAATGAACTTCTTCCATTTACCCCCGCCCCCCGCAACCACTAATCTATTACCTCTATCTATGAATTCAATTTGTTTGTTTGTTTTTAGAGTGCACATATAAGTGATATCAGATGGTATTTGTATTTCTCTGTCATACTTATTTTACTTAGCATAATGCCCTTAAGGTCCTCTTATTTTGTCCCAATGATCAATGGAACAGTGTAGAGAGAACAAAAATATGGCCAATTAATTTATGACAGAGGAGCCAAGAATATGCCATTGGGAAAGGATCATCTCTTCAATAAATGCTTTTGGGAAAACTGGGGAGTCACATGCAAAAGACTAAAATGAGACCATTATTTTATACACACAAAAATTAACTCAAAGTACATTAAAGATTTAATTAAAAACTGGAACCAAAACCTCCTAGAAAAAATCATAAATGGTAAACTCCTTGATACCAGTCTTGGCAATTTGTTTATTTGTTTTTGTGGGGTTTTTGCAACTAAAAGCAAAGGAAATGAATGTAAAAATAAACACGTGTGACTACATCAAGCTAAAAAGCTTCTGCACAGCAAAGGAAACCATCATCAAATTTAAAAGGTAACTTACTGAATATAGGTAAATATCTGTAAATAACATATCTTATAGATATGTATATAATATACAAAATATATAAAGATCTTATCACTTAATAGCAAATAACAAATAATTTTATTTAAAAACTAGAGGCCTGTTGCATGAAGAGATTTGTGCAATAGGCCTTCCTTCCCCTGGCTGCCGGCACTTGTTTTCCTCCGGCACCTGGGACCCAGGCCTTCGCTCCGACCGCTCGCTCCAGCCGCAGCGGAGAAGCCAAGCCTCTTCAGTCTTCTTCAGCCTTCAGTCTTTTTTGCTCCGTGCCTGGGTATGCAAATTAACCACCATATTTCTTGGGTTAATTTTCATACTCATCCGATTGGCTGGTGGGCATAGTGGATTGACACCAATTTGCATGTTTCTCTTTTATTAGTGTAGACTAGAGGCCCGGTGCACAAATTTGTGCATGGGTAAGGTCTGGCCTGTCTTCCCCAAAAAGGGTCTATCAGCCTGGGCCAGTGAGGATGAGAGGCCGCAGATGGTTGGCTGGCCGGCCCCATCACCGATTGGGGTGTTGGGGACTGATCGAGGGGTGGGCCCATGGGATGGGGGAGCGATCGGGGCCCGGATCAGGCTAGTTGGCTGCCACAGTGTGCATCATAGCCACTGGTTATTGTAGTTGTTCTGGTCATTCCACCATTCTGGTTGCTGGGCTTTCATATATAGTGATTGGAAGGGGACTAAACAGATTTTTCTCAAAATATCATACAAATGGCAAAAAGAGACATAGAAAGATGTTCAACAGCACTGATGGCTATTACCAAAAAGACTTTTTTAAAAAATAACAAGTGTTGGCAAAGATGTGGAGAAAAGGGATCGCTTATGTTCTGTTGATGGTGGAAATGTAAATTGGCACAGCCATTATGGAAACCAGTATGGAAGTTTCTCAAAAAATTAAAAGTAGAACTACCACATGATTCAGCAATTTCACTTCTTGGTATTTATTAAAAAAAAAATACTAACTCTGAAAGATATCTGCCCCCCATGTTCCTTGCAGTATTATCTACAATACTCAGCTTTTTGAAGCAACCTAACCACACAGTCTTGAACCAAATAGTTTACTTGTAATCTGCACCAATGAAAGATACATCCATAAACCTTTCCAACAGGCAATGGTAAATTTTTCTTATCAGGGCATAGGACCAATATATTGTATAATGCAACATAATGGCATAAAGCCCACAATGATGGATCAGTTTCTGGCCAAACATTTAAAGATACATGTGCTTATGTGTAGATGACTAAATCACTAAGTAAAGATCCTAGATAGACAGATGGCAGCAGATTAAATGAAAATGCAGATGAGAAGTGAAAGTTTCATCAGTAAACTAACATATTTTCTGGTAATGAAGGTTTACTGTTCTTTTTTACACAGTATTAAAGTACAGGTGCAGTGAAGGCTCTGACTTTTTGGAAAGGTCACTGAAATAAGAATAAGTCTAAAAAATATAGAAATTTATACTTAACAACTTGCGTAATGTGTGCAGAGACTAACACACTGAGAGATATGTAAGTCAATCTAAAACACTTAAAGATTAATATAATTGTTATATAAAACTTACAAAGTAATTTAAAAATGTATCAGCATGTTTGATCTTTATATTAAACTAGAGGTCTGGTGCACAAAATTCATGCCAGAGTGGGTCTTCCTTCCCCCAGTTGCCGGCACCGGCTCCCTTCTGACACCTGGCACCCAGGCTTCCCTCCAGCTGTTGACAGGCACCCAGGACCTGGACTTCCCTCACAACCCCAGCTCCATCTGGAAGGTTGTCCGGAAGGTTGTTCGGCTGTCTGGTCTAATTAGTATATTATGCTATTATTATTATAGATTTATAAACTCAAAATAAAACATGTTATAGGTGGGTGATAATTTTATAGCATAAAAATTGATTCTACAACATTCTATTTTATATTTCCTATAGTTTTAAGTTTTGATTAAAATCTTAGAATTTTAATATTTAATACCACAAAATTACATTTTGTTATTGTGTATATATGAACACACGGAGAAAGAAATGTGTAGAATAGCAATATTTTATGAAATCAGTACTTCTAACACTGTCCTTTGAAAAATACTCCTATGGTGTGCTTTTTCATTTTTTTTCAGGCCAATGTTTACCACTATTGAAAGATAAAGAAAATGTCTGGATGCTGCAATATATGCTGTTTTTTTCTCAAATATATGGATATAAAATAACATTAATCAATAAGAAAGTTATTCCATTTAATTAAGCTAAACAGTGGCAAGTAATCAAGAAGTAATTATTTGATTTAATTTGACATTTTTCTCCAGGAAATTCCTTCACAAATGTCAATCCTATCTAGTAGGGGTTTTCAGAATGGCATTTCCAAAGTAATAATTATTACTAGAGAATTTTCACAAATATTTCTTTAAAAATGTGGAATTGGCCTGATTGGTGTGGCTCAGTTGTTTGAGCATCATCCCATGCACCAAGAGGTCAAGATTTGATTCCAGGTCAGGGTACATGCCCAGGGCTCAATCCTCAGTAGAAGACAGCCAATCAATGTTCCTATCTCATTAATGTTTCTATCTCTCTCCCTTATATCAATAAAAAAACATATTTAAATTTATTAATTAATAATAGAAATGTGGAATTGCTGTTTCATATTGTTTTAAGCAGCAAATTAAATATTTAATAAACCCAATATGTCAGATGGAGATAGCATCCTTTCTGAATTGTGAATTTCCCATTGTTACCTCTGGTTAAACATACAAGTTATTTTCAATTTTCAGGAAGAATTAAACCTTTTTATTTATTACAAAATTTCACTGCATGTTTTTAGTCCTGGCAAGTGACAAGGGAGCTAGATTAGTTCTATTTCTGAAATAATTTTATTTCTAGTATTTCAACACTTGTTAATATTTCACCACCAGTTCAGGGACCATATTTCTTTATTGACATATTGACAAATATACCAGTGGAATTTTCTATATTAAAGAAATTTGGTAACAGACTTGCTACAGTAACACTTTGACAAGGGAAATACAAACTTCTCTGTATGAAAAGAATTATTTACTATTCCTTCCGTTTCCCATTTTCTTGCATACTCTTTACCTTTTACTTATGTTTCTAAAGTAAAATCAAGCAGTACCCTAGAGATACTGATCTGGAAGATCTAAAATACTTACTGCTTTCATAGACTAACACAACCATTGAGATGATAGACATAAAGTCAATTCAGATCAGCTGCAATCCTCTGAGGTAAAGAACATTCAGTAAATATTTATTGAATGGCTATTTTACATTAATAACTATTCTAGACTTTAGGAAATCAAAGCCCAGACCTCAAAAACTTCAGGGAAGAGTAGCAGGTAAACAGGCAATTCCTGTTGATAGTAACATGGCGATTTTTTTTGTTGTGTTCCAAATACAAACCTTTTCCCATCTTCCTTTAAAGGATTCTAGAGAATACAAATAACTCAAAGTTTGGCAATAGGAATGAATGTTTCCTATTGCATGAAAAAGTTTTCCACTAAATAAATGATAGAGAATATTCAATTCAGAACAGTCTTGATTACTCTCTGAATGCCAGATGTTAACCAGAATAGGCAGATAGTACCAAGAGAAGTTTGACATAAATGACTGCACAACCATCTCTGCATAAATCCATGGTGCAGAGGCTGCAATGATGAAATTGAAAACAAAAATAATTATCTCTTAAGAAATGCATAGAAAAAAGAAGCAACAGGTGGATTTGCTCCTAAAATAAGAGAAAAACATATTTTGAGGCTGTCAGAGACAGAGTAGTGAACTCCTTTTTTATTAGCCACTACTGTGGTAAAAATAGTCAAACAGAACAGTTAGCTGCATGTAAGCAATAGAAAGAGGTTAAGAAAATGAAGGGAGACCAAAGATAATGTGTAATTTTTTAAGGAGGGGTTTGCTCCAGGGCAGTAGGCTTCCTATATTTGGCTTATGGGGCACAGTTTGGAACTTCTACTATCTCTATATATAAGAGCCTAAGCGACCAGACGACTGGGAGACTGGATGACCGGACAACCAGATGACCAGATGACTGGATGACTGGATAACCTGCTGGTAGCTATGACACACACACTAATCACCAAGAGACAGATGCTCAATGCAGGAGCTGCCCCCT